AGAATCCCCCCCTGTTTGTTGGCCCACCCCTACAGCAACACAATAGGGGTAATTGTCCATGCAGCACACACACATTGGCACATAAAGATGGACAGACAAGAGCGTGTGGCGTTTCCCTGCCATATGCCGTCCCTCCTCTGGAATGTGATTATACTCGGTGGAGAAAAAAACAGAGGCTGAGCGGAAAACACAGTGTGCGGGGGAAGCAAGCGAGGGGGAATAGAAGGAGGAGGAGGAGCAGTAAAGCAAGTGTAGAGACCGAGAGAGAGAGAGATTGAGATGAAGGATGGAGGATGCAGAGTGTGTGGCGGCACGGCTAGAGAGGGAGGGTTCATGAGAGGGCTGTTCAGTCTGGCATGATTCTTCGGATAAGGACGGAACTGAACTGAAGTGGAAATCTCACACACACGGCTGCCGTCTCCAATCCGACAAAGACTCAGGTCTGTGATGTTTCTTCACATGTAGAGATCGCCGTTATGCACACAGATGGCCACATTCGAGAAGGGCTGTGGCTCTTGAAGCTCTTCAGGTTTACCGCAGATGACTGTACGGTTTAGTCTTTCAGCTAGTGTTGAATAGAAACCTGCTGTTTTGTATGTTAGAGCATGTTTATGTGTGATATTTTTGTCTAGAGAGATGCATATTTAACTCTGCAGACACTGAAGCAGGGGCGTGTGTCTGTATGTGGGTGGATTTGAACGGCGCTTTTGTGTAAAACCTAGAGCAATAACATATTTGAATAGAATTTTTTGTGCTCGAGTCACAGCGATGAGCAATCCTGGGGTGAATCAGCCACATAAATGCGAACGCAGACTCAGATGCAGAAACAGAAACAGATGGATGTGGAAACAGGTCCACATGGAAGCAGGTGGAAATCTGTGTGTGTGTGTGATAGGTTTGTGAGCGGTATCCACACACCAGCAAACACCACACAGCTATCAGATTAAGCAGAGAAATATCTCTTTACAGGATCAGGGGAGTGTTGAGGCTCATTAACGTGCTAAATAACACATATGTAGTAACCGTCTAAGATGCTAAGACTGCTTTAGCACCTCGGTTCAAACGCTTTACGTCAATCTCTCTGTGTCTCTTTTTAAGTATAAACTTTGTCTGAGGTGTTTATCCTAAATAGACATGAGTTGGGTAAAAAGAGCAACTTTTACTATTACAAAACTGGTCAAAGGTTTAGAATAATTAAGGTTTTTTTTTATGTTTTTCAAAGAAGTTTCTTATGCTTATCAAGGCTGCATTTATTTGATCAAAAAGACTGTAAAATCAGTAATATTATTACAATTGAAAATAACTGTTTTCTATTTAAATATGTTTTAAAATGTAATTTATTCCTGTGATGGCAAAGCTGATTTTTTTGCAGCCATTACTCCAGTCTTCAGTGTCACATGATCCTTCAGAAATCATCTAATATGCTGATTTGGTTATTAACAGTTATTATTGGTGCTCAGTTATTAATAATGGTCATTGTTATTATTTTCAATGTTTTTGTTTTTTTTAGTTTAATTGACATTTTTTAAATAGCAATCTTTTGTAACATTATACTGTAAATGCCATTACTGTCACTTTTATCTATTTAATTAATTCTTGCTAAATTAATGTATTAATTTCTTCATCTTACTTACCCAAAATTTTTTAATAGTAGTGTATCCTGTTTTCCTCAAAAATATTATTAATAATAAGAAGAAATGTTTCTTGAGCACCAAATAAGTATATTATTTCTATGTTCTCTCTAATGCTATTTTCTGTAGGAGAAACAGTTGACACTAATGCGGTCTCATTTGTCATTTTTCTCACCTAAGGGTGGTGGCGTCCGTCTACACAGTCTTGATGTGTCTATAAATGATGACCTCACTTCCACCCACACTGTCTCGTACTGAGAACAGGTGCACAGAAATGTTTTATTATCTGCTTCTCACTGTTGAACATGTGACTGCTTTCAGTGAAGTTAATCATGCACACTCGCAAGAAGCAAAAAGCGGAACTGTGCTGCAGGAATATTACATAAAAACAAGCTCAAAAACACAGAAAAGAGGCTCATACCTGATCAAGGGTCACAGAATTATGTGTGGAGCTCAGTCAGCATGCTGACAATTCAAAGGCAGACAAAGTCTAAGATTATGAGTCATTTCTTGATTGTCATTAGTACCAAACTTAGTATTGTCTTTAGAGTTGTGAAAGTGTGGCATCCATTCATTTCCTGCTATAATTTTTTTAAGGCCCATAAGAAAGATTGTACACATTCCCATAGTTCTGTTCACATTGGGGCAAAAAGGGACTGGAGAGATGAAAGCTGAAAAAGTGGGTTGGTTTGTTGATATTGTTACACATTTAGACTTCATTCTCATCAATCTCTTCTTACTCAGCAGCTTTAATCAATGCCTGTAATTATTCTCTAGTCACCAACAGTCAGCACATTCATGCACACATAACATTTTGTAGATGGCACATTGAGTAAATAGTTGGATCCTTTTTAATTACACATATAAGGATTTTACTACAGTTTGTTTTATTTTTAATTTTTTTCGGTGTTGGTAGCACAGTGCATCATCTATTATGTTTATAGTGTCAATGCTGTTGTTGAATGGACATTTATTTAGTCAGTGTCCTGCTTCTCACATTGGCTGAGAAACCGGTTTTGTGACCAGTGAGGGGAAAGAGTGAGACAACCACAGGAAGGACAAAAAAATTGCAGCTGCTTGTTATGAGTGACACTTTCAAGACGAGTTGCATGTTGTGGGCATTTCCCTGTTGTTTAGTGTATTGTTGTTGCTTAAGATGGAGAAACATCTTAGGAATGTGAGAAAGACGCAGACCAGGACACACTGGAGAACCAAGAGCAGAGCAGGTATGCTCTTATAGGCTAATTCAAACAAATATAATTGAACTTGTCATTTTAATGTAATACAGAAAAAAACTATATTGAGAATAATGATAATATGCAAAAACAAAAAACAAAAAAAAAGTTAAAATTTTGGGGTGAAATATGACCGGCACAAGTAAGAAGCTGTATTTGGTGGTTATTATTAGTATTGCCTTTATTGATATTGATTATTACTGCAATAAAGCTGTGGTAAACTGTATTAATCCCTAGTATCATCAAAAAAGCTTTTTATACTTGGTAGAATCTGGTTGCTATATTTGTAAGGCTTTGGCTGTCTTTGTGTATTGTGTCAATATTAAATAAATTTTCAAGCACTTTGGAGCCCAGTTTGTAAATGCCAGATTAATGTGATGAACCATCGCTTTTATGCATCATAATTCAGTTTAGTGTTCTGTTTGTTCTGTTAGTTGGTTACAAATAAATTAAATGTATGCACACATACTGAAAACTGATTGAGCTTGATTAAGGGAAGCATTTATTCTTGCATCGGCCAAATCCATAATTCACTGCCTATTGAAAACCACAATATTTACAATTATAATGGCCACTCGACTGTGAACATGATTCATGGCGCATCTACTCTAATGCTCTAACAAGGGCTCCACATAAATGCTAAATTACATGCTACACAGCATCACAAATAACCTCATAAAACATGTCATTGCTATTTTTCTTTTGTGTTCAGATGAAAGATGGCTGTATTTTGTGTTTCTAACCAAGCAAACGGATAAACTGAGGTGTCATGGAAATATCTATGCATGGTTTTCCAGCTCTATACATCTCAGTACCCATTTTACAGTTTGTTTAGAATCTGTCTTTGATAGCTCAAAAAGGTTTTATATAGGGTCCCACCAGCCCCCTCTTTCATCTTCGTTAAAGTTTGTTTGTTGTGGTTGTTGTGTTAGCTTACAGAATGCGATTTTTTGTAAAACTGCTATTAAAAATGGCTATTATGTGAGCATGTGTGCACGTTTGAGTGTGCGGGGGACACCAGATCCTTCTGTCACAAGGACTCCAGATGATACGAGGAAAAAGCCTTGCTTTAATTTCATGCCCAGGATAAAGCAAAACTCAAAATGTAGCTTACTATAAACTTGTTTCACTGTACGTTGAACTGACTGACTGTTTTTGTCACATTCTCTGTTTACTTTATTCAATAAGTTCTCCATCTTTCATCACTGCATTTTGTCTCTCTTTACTTCCCCATTCTCTTTAGTTTGCACTCAGTAGCGTAACATTATTATTCTGACAAGATGCGCATTAAATATCGCATGCGATTTATCGTGCAGCCCTAATTATTGTGGTCTTATATTTTCAGCGTGTCAGTGTGTGCCTTCATGAACACATGTGTGTACAATTGGCAACCACATGCTACTTGTTTACCGATTGGCTTTCATCTTTTATGTGCGTTAGAAATGGAGTACATTAACACAGCTCTCACATGCCCTAGATATTACAGCAGAATTCATTACCGGCGAGTCTCTGGGGATTAACTTTCCTTTGTTTTGCTACAAATGCTGGATTAATGTTCTCTCATCCTCTCTATTCACACACAGACCTTCTGCTCCTTCTGCTGTTTTTATCATTCAGAAGACATTTAAAGCATGTCAACATATTCTGTTACACCAAATACACAAAATAATGATCTTTAAAAAAGCATCATATGACCCCTTTAATTCTTCTGCAGTCTTACCATTACACATAATACAGTTTTTATGTTTGCACTTTTAAGGTAAAAAATTATATTTTGCATACAGATTAATTATTTATTTTGCATTGTTTATGTGCATAATTTTAAGCTTCCAGTTTCATATAATTAAATGAGGTGTATTTTATTTACTTATTTAGTTTGCATTGTGACATTTTAAGCTTAAAATTTGTATTATAAGATTTTCTATAATTAAATTAAGCTTATTTATTTGTTTATGAGTTTGTTTATCATGACATTAATGTACGCTTTAACTTTGTAAGAATTGTATAATTTTATGTAATTTAATATAGCCTATTTTAATTATTTATTTTGTATTGTGACATTAGTTTAAGCTCCCATGTTTGTATAAATTATATATAAATTATACATTTATATATATAATTTTAATTTTAAAAAGTCTATTTATTTATTTTATTTGTTTTTGCAATCTTACATTCTTTTAAAATTTTGTAACAAAAAAAACTTTGTATAATTTGCAAAGGGTCCTTGTCTATTCCAACAGGACAATGCTGTGTGCATTAAGCAAGGTTCATATCAAAATATTTGCGGAGTCCTGTGTTTAAGAACTGGCCTGCTAAAAATACAAATCTGAACTCCATTGAACACCTTTAGGATGAAATGGGATCAAATCCTCAAAGACATTTCAACATCTAATAAAAGGTCTTTCCAGAAGGATGGAGGCTGATAGCAGGACCAACTCTCTATTAATTCAAATGGTTTAGTGTCATTTACCCTTTGGCACTAAGATTTGCAGATCTCTTCCTGTTATTATTTTTAGCCCCTCCCACATGTTTCTCAGTATATCTATCCCCCTCAGTTTCCATCTCTGTCTACATAATTTAGGATCATGACGGTACCTCAAAATGGTACCTCAAAAACTTTCTGGAAACTAAAAACAAAAAATGTGCTGAGACTAAAACTAACTAAATATTTCTCTTGACATCTTTCAGATAAAGCCAGTAATCCCAGCTGCTTTCCCTCCAAACAATCTGATGAAGAGGAACCTTGTGTTGGGGTCAAGATTGCTCAGAACAAAGGTGGGCAACAACCCGCCCTTCCTCTGCTTCCTAATCTGTCAATTCCTTTCTCTATTACTCTACTAAGACTTCTAGCTCGGATCCTTGGGAGTCTACCATTTATTGTAGTTGTTGATGCATGAATTGTGTGTCAGATCGAATCTTTTCTAAAAACCTGTAGCTGCGAGCAGTTGGATTTATGATCTGCTGTAAGAGATAAGAGAAACTTTTATACGTTATGTAATAGTTTTAAGGTTTATTATGGGAATGAATAGGCGTGACTGTGCCACACTTACTGTACAGTGTGGTCAATGATCCATCAACCTCAGTTTTTGGTCTGATCACCCTCGTTTCTGTTTTCTCTGCATTCTGCATTCTTTTGTTTCTCTTAATGGAAGAACGAGCTAACATGGAGAAGAATTTTAATTATTTTGTAGTTATATCAAACCATATTTGATGTTTAATGTACAGTTAAGGATCACTGGACCAATGACTTTATACGGTGGGTTACCCAGCACAACACCACATGAATAGAAACCATGCAATCTACAAATTATTATTTTTGCTTTTTGCTTTTAAAACTGAAAAACTTACGTTACATTATTATATTACATATTGTTACATATTGTGCTGTGAGTGTCTGTAGCTCTGTGTGTAAACAAAGGCCTCATCACCTTCACAAAGTTTGCTTTCATTTGTCAGATCGATATTAACTAGAAAGATTTTGTTCTCCGGACAGTATATGGGAATACAATTGGAGGTCTATGGTGACATGACATTACAGTAGTTGTGCTGGTCAGACTTGTTTAAGTGGAGACAGGAACACTGTACTGAGCTTACTGTAATTGTGGACTCATGATAATGTGAAATGTAAGAGATATCACTGAGCTGAATACATGAGAGCTTCGCCTTTATGTGATCTTTATAACCAGGTGGTTAATGGTGTGGTTTTGGTCTTGAGTATTTGACCTATAGTGGTCGAGTGTTTTTTTTGTTGTTTTTTTTACTTATATACTTTGTGTACAGTATTTTGAACCATCACATACCATATATAGATTACATTTAGGCTACCGTTAAAAAGTTTGGGGTTAGTAAGATGTTTTTTTTTTTTTAAGAAATTCATATTTTTATTCAGCAAGGATGAATTTAATTGATCAAAAGTATGTTATAAAATGCAGGATCCAAAAAAAATTCCCAGCTGACCTGCCTAGATCTTTACATCATAAGTTATACACTGACAGCTCTTGAGTGATTGTTGTAGATACTGTTGCTATGGCAGGTTGATGTTCAGATGTCATGTCAGAAAATTTTACTTCATTACCTGCATCCAACAGAAAGGGCATCAGTATTTACACAAACGTCAGGTTTGAGTTGAGTTGTGGCTATCTGGGATGTGTCAAGAAGGTTGTACAACACCAGATGCTCAGGACTCTTCTCTGTCTCCACTCGATGTCGAAAATGAGATTAAAGTAAATCAGATCTGCAATGGAATCTGGTAAACAGTTTAATAAACTTGTAAGGTGTGGCAGTCCGGTTCACACAGTTTACATGTTGAAGAATACTTGTGTGTGTCCATTTATCATTTCCCACCCTTGAATGATTGCCATTCAATCTGTGCCTCTCATGTGAGAGCTTCATTTAATTTTAGCCTGTTTATCCTGAGTCCATTTGAATTTTCCTCTCAGTATTTTGTAACATGAGAGTGCTTGTGTGCCACTAAGACAAGAGGGTTTGGAATGAGACTGATGCTGCTCAAGGCTGTTGAAAGGGCACCATAGACCTTGGTCAGGGTTCTGCCATATTTCATTTTTTACCGGAATGAAGATGAGGTTGTGAGAGATAGAAGTACAATGCGTTTAATGAATTGTACTGCTTTTTAATAACATGCCAATTGTTCAGCTGATGAAACTTGCCAGAAAACTTACAGTAGACAAAAACTCTACAGAACAGTTTTGAAAATGACGTCTGATCTATGACCTTTTCACAGTGCGGGCCATTATAAAGAAAGACTATCTCACACAGCCTAGTTTTCTTCAATGTAAAATTCAGTGTGTCATCCGCTCTGACTAAGGTCTGTTGCATTTCTTCCTCATTTATACCATCAAGTTATTTCATCACGTGCCTTACCTTTACAGTCAAACTCCGATTCCCACTCCATTCAGAAATGCAACAATATTCACACTGGATTGTGCTCTGAAGGTTTTAAAGGGATAGTTCACGCAAAAATGAGAATTTTGTAATTATTTACTCACCCTAACCTTCTCCAGAACATAAAAGGAGAATTTTTAAAGAATGGCTTTTCAATGCAACTATATATTTAGTATTTAATTCATTTTTTATATATTTGCTACATATAACATTTAGCAGACTCTTTGTTATTACAATGTTGGACAATCATGAAACAGAAAAATAATTTTAAACCAAAATGATGAAGAAATTATTATTTTATTTGCCCTTTATCTCATTACCTGAAATCATATTCATATGAGAATTTATTATTCATTTATTTATCATTTCGAGGTGGCCATTAACACACAGCACTATGTACATTGTAACATCTAGTGGATTTTATGCACAATGAATGTAAGTGTTGAGTGCAGTGTGTGTGTGTGTGTGTGTTTGGATGGAGGGAGGGGCTGTTTCCTCGTGCCTTTGTGGCAGAGTTTCAGTCAGTCTGAGGTTTATAGAAGACCGGAAGGCTTGAATGCTGATAACTGCTGTTATATTTCTCATTGCTCTGGGAATATTTGGCCTCATTTTGATGGACAGAAGGTGAGATTACTTTGGCTTGACAATGATCACAGTCTTACCCCTGCTAGTACTGTTTTCATTGGTTAACATGGTCTGTTTAGATGTTGTTACAGTATAATTAAACTTGGCAACAGCACATTAGTGGAGGACGCTGGAAGTGCTTTTATGTATCTTCACACAAATATGTTATTCTTTCTTCTCTGTGACAGTGGTTACTTTGAAAATTAAAGTTTTTTTATAGAATAATTGAGATCAGAATGCATTAGTGAATGTTTAATATGATATTTTGATATTTTAAGAATCTGCTTCAAATTTCTTCTACATAGAGATGTCAATCTCAGACATTTGGTCACCTGTCTGCTATATTTTTGATTTTCTGATGGATTTGTTTGCCAACATGGATGAACAAGTTCAAGCAGTTCACATTTTTCAGTCTTGTTAGTTTGCTTTTTTTCGTCTGGCACCATTGCGTGGTTAAGAAAATGCATTTTGCATATGTTCATTTCTAACTTCCTTCACGTTTATTTATTGCCTGTCTGTGTTCCTCTGTTGCATGACAAGCTCTGAAAACTTTTGCTAACTACTTCTGCTCCTTATGGTCAGTTCCCACCTAAGTTTGCAAACTAAATGAGCTGTTCTTATCTGTTCTGTATTGGTTGGTACTTTCCCACAAGGTTTCTATTTGATAGTACAGTACCAAAATGCAGCCATATTCAAATATACGCTATGGTGGGTTTCCCATAAACTGGAAATTTTACTATTCAGATTAAGGTTGATTTATTATGTTGCAACTAATTAAAACCGGAATTTATGTGTCAGATTTCCATGCACAGAAAGGTAAACACATCTGGAATGTTTTAGTGACCAAAGGCTAGACATTTTTTTTTTTTTACTGGAACAAACTGCTTTTATTAAACTCAGATGTTGATCTGATTTAAGCCATTATCTTGAACCGGGCTCTCTGTATATGTCAGGTCAAACCACAGACTTTTTTTTCCTTTCTATACTTAGCCAGGAATGCCAAAGTTGGCACACGCCTGTGTTTTAGACTCGGAATGCGGAACATTTGTGCTTTTTCCCATGCAAACATTTTAGCAGCAATTATTATCATAGTTTACATTCACTAGACCACACGTGGTTTGACATCAACCTGGCTCACTTTTTCAGCTGCAAAAACCCAGCGACACATTTCTAATAGATCTGCATGCAGGTGTTTCTCTGTTATGATGTGGACGTTTCGATTTCATCTGCTTTCCCAGACAGAGAATTTTGGGAAGAGGTTGCCATGGTAACTCAGAGGCTAGTTATCAGGTGTATTATTCACCTGAGGATGCTTTCATTGTTTTGTTTGCTTACAGTATGCTTACTTAAACACACTGAGGTAGACAATAGCCACATTCACACATCAATGCAATTTTTTCACGCAAAGTTGCTGAACTGAATTTTCCGGTTAAATCTACTACATCTGCAGCTGCTTTCAGTCTTTTATTCGTATACCATTCACACATCAGCACCAAAATGTAGTTACAATTCTGTTGCTATTTGCTGGAATTGGCCTTTAAACACTTTCAATGGAAAAGTCATTTGGGATAAAGGTTAAAAATACTAGTAATTTGTCTTGTGTGAGATAACATATAACATAAAACATAACATAACTGACAGAGCCAGAGTTTCAGTGAGACATCTCTTCCAGTAATCTGTCGAATCATTTCTTCATCTGCTCAATGGAGAATAGCTCTTCATTTCAGCATCTATCCAGTTTGATGACATTTCTTTCCACAGCATAGATAATTATAATTTTCGAGTCCTGTGTTACAGGTTTACAACTAAATGGCCTGGAGTAACTGCGTCAGCATACTTCTTATGTTAGAGTCAGTCGTCTAACCTTGTACTTGTACATTGTTTTTCACACATAGCCTCAGAACGTTTCCGGTAATGTTGCAACTTCTTCATTTTAATAACGGCCCTCGTCACACAGGACCTCTAAATAGAAAAATGTTGATGAATGTACTGATAAGACTGAACGTGTGAAAGCACTTATTGTTAGGCAGAATTAAATACCAACAATTTCTGCATGTTTCTGGAGGTATTTTGATGCTTAGTAAGAAAGTACTGTCATTGTCTCTTTTGTCGCACCTTTATGCATTTTTTATTATTATTTAATTGTATATATTAATGCAAACCCAATTTTGATGGAAATGTTAGTGGTGCTTGTCCCTGCAAAATTCACTGTCACAGTGCTACAGTGAAGTTGATGGTTGCTAGGGTGTTGTGAATGGTTGCTAGGTGTTTGCTTGGGTCAGAGTTTAATACATAAGCTCCAGGAGTTTGTTCAAATACAGAAAAAGTTATATGTACACACAGGCAATAAATACATATTCATTTTAAGTGTTAAATGGCCTTGAGGATATTACAAAAATATTTATTTTAGACACTGACATTTTCTGATATCGGTGAAATGCAGGCATTTAGAGGCATTCTCTGGTCCATAAAAGAAAGCTTGTTTCAATCCTGGCCACAAACTGAGCCAAAACTGAGATGAATGGGCCAATCACACATGACGCTGTCCTTACACCACCACCACCATATATTTACTTCCAGCACAACAGCATCATTCATCCTCCGACATGGACAGTCCCATGCAGCCTATTGGCCTAAGATGTTTGCAGGGAAGAAAAGGGGGCCAGATGAAGCTGGGAAGGCCATAGAAAGTCTCTCTTTGTGCTCCCTAATGCATTAATAGCCCCATGCTTTAATATAACAAGACGTGGGCAAGACATAATTTGCATGAGTGCCTGTAACAAGACGGTTTACAGGGGAAAGCGACATGTCCTGTTCATTGCACCGAAATAAGGAATGGTCCGTTGGTGTGGACGCTAATATAGTTATTGTTATATTTATTTTTATAGCTATCGTTCTTTGTGCGAATACGCCTGGACTCTGTTGTGAGGTAAATACATGCAGTGGTCAAACAGGATGAATAACCTGAAAGAGGAATCTAAACCAGGATTGCACCTACATAGCTTTCAGTGGGTGCGTGTACACTTACATTTCCTTAATGTGTTATGACTGGAGTGTGTTTTGACTGTAGTGTGCACTAATGAAGTCATAGTGGCCTCGCAGATCTTCCAATGGCATTTTATCTTGTCTGCAAACTTTATGCATTTGTTTTATTTCATGCTGTATGGTAGAGCACAGTACTTTTAGAGTAAAGTCACTTCATTCAGTGGCTGTGTTTGCAGCTCTACTGTGCCTAACTAATTGGGGAAATACCGAAATGTAATAATTTAGCGTTTTCTTTTCTGTTGATGTCACCACACAGGCAGATAGTATTAGCTAATAGATAGAGTCTGCATACTTGCATTTGCTTTGAAAACTTGCTTTTAGTCTGGCTTCATTGTGGTATGTAGCATTCAAGATTGAATCAGTTCCCGTCCTTAGTTTTTTTCTTGTTGCATATCCCGCTTCACATGAAAATACATTACGGAAACAAAAGGGGAATTTTGAAAGGGAATTCACATTAACATTTTATAGTTGTCAGACTCTGCTCCATGTTTTGTGTGTGTCTTGCTCCCCATGTGCCTCGTGTGTCAACGTGACAATAGTATCTTAACATCAAAATCTTTTGCTCCGCCTCTGAAATGACTTTACTTTTTTCATGACATCACCAGGTTCTCTTATTTTACTGTCCTCTTATTTTTTTGTCCTCTTCCTCCAAAAACATGCCAAAGAATGTTTTTGTGATCCAGACATTTTATGATGGAAAAACCCACGTCCCATCTTTTTATCTTGTTTTACTCCGAAATATGTCACATTATGGATGACTTGCAAAGGCATTTCATGTTGACTTGATGTTGTAATATGATACTATATATTAAGAGATCAGTGTCATTATTTTTAGTGGTACGTACATGTCTGTACTGTTTTGTATTGTTTTTTTATTCTTTTTCCAAAAGGCCTTGTTAATTTTTATGAGAGCAGATTGTATCACTAGTCCAACGTTTGCAGTAAAAAATAGCCTACTGATATTTTGTTCTTGTTGTTTTGGAAAGTTTGCTGTTTTTCTTCTACAATGTGGGAACCAAGATCATTTTCATGCATTTTTTTTTTTTCACATTTAAACGGATCACTGTGTTGCACATGAAAAATTCAGTTCTGTGACATTTTTAGATCTGAACATTTCAAGGTCAGCTGTCATTGTCGACAGATACGTGCGTGCCTTACCGTATTTGCCAAAGCTGTTTTTCAGGAAACATTTCTTGGTTGAGGCGAACAAAAAAGCTTCCTCATAGGTTGAATACTGATCATAAACAATCTGGTTATTTGTTTGTTCTGCATTCGACACAGAGGAACTTGCGGTTATTTTTAGTTTTTGTTTCAAGTTTAAGTCACTTTTAGTTTCAAGGCCACTTTTATGCCAGCCCTGACTGATATCAGGAGCACAAAAAACAGACCTCTTGCATTTCACTTCTGCACAGAGAGTGTAGTGTGCACACAGTATGGCTTCTAAGCAATTAGATAAAACAAACTGCTTTTGAAACTGCTACCATACCATTTATTCCCATCCTTTTTTTCTCTCCTGCAGCCGTTGCTAGCCGTAGTTCTGATGAGCAAGATCATCGCAATGAGAAGTTGAGTCATGGATGTAGATTCAGCAATAAGAGCCTTACTGGAGTAAATGGAAGAGTTTCAGGCCGACGGCCACCACTGCATCCCAAACCACAAGGTATGGATATATGCACACAGTATGCACAGACACATAAGTCCTTCCAAAATTCCACAGAAGTACATGCTAAAGAAGTACCAGAAATACATGCTAACTCATCTATGGTGGTATATTGGCATTTATGCTTCCATGAAGAACCTTTAATATCCCTGGAACCTTACCATTGCACAAAAGGTTCTTTATAGTGGAAAAGAATGTTCTTTAGATTATTAAAATGTTCTTCACACTAAGAAATAAATGGTTTTTTAAGAACTGTTCACTTTGAGGAACCCCAAATGGTTCATCTATGGCAGGGGTGGCGAACTCCTGGAAACTCTGCAGGGCTGCGGCTCTCCAGGACCGACGTTCGCCACCCCTGGTCTATGGCATCATTGTTAAACCTCTTTCTGGAACCTTTTTTTTTTAAGAGCTTACACACAAACACATCTTTCCCTTTATAACAGGCCCTGAACACTATTCTGATAATGAACAGGCTGCAACGTTTGCAATGCTGTATGTGTGTGCGTGAGGCGCCGGCGCGATCGAAGAGCGGAAACAAACAACAACAAAAAATACTCCGTCATTTTTGGTCATTCAGATCATTCGAAACTCCAATGTGTTTACTTTTATTTCTCTCATCTCGGTTTCCTTTCCGTGGACTTTCGTAGAGCGCCGCGCCACACAAATAGCCTATGAACCAAACTCAGCAGCATATCTCTCTGTCTTTTCCTTTCGTTTTGTTAATCTATTAATTAGGCTATTTAAGTCAAATATTTTGCATATTCATTCATTTTATATATAGACTATGATTTAATAAAAACAGATTTTGTTATGTTTAGTTAAACTTAATTTTTGTTGCTTGTCTGCGCTCGTCCGCCGCTTTTTTCCTCTTCTCCGACCCCGCAGCTCTCTCCGATAGATTACTGTTAGTGGCACCAGTCCAGGTGTTTCCAGGTTTTACTCGTGCTATTTCTCCATGTTGAGAGTTTGGTGTCGCACATATTGCACCTGACTATGCATTCTTATCCTTTTCTCCGATGAACTGAAATTAAACAGGAGTGTGTCCATCTCACAAATGTAGAATCCTTCTCAGAGGTCATCTCAACCATCTAATTCCAGCAACAGGAAATAAGACGAACCATTTTACCCGCGGAATTTTTTCTCTGGTGCTGTTTTGCAGTGTTGGTAAATTCACCACTTAATTTTGAGTTAAAATATGTTGTTGTAACTTGCGTTACTGAGATTGTAACGAGTAATAATATTACCCAAATTGTATTAGTAATGCGTTATATTACTGCGTTACAGCAAAAAGTAATATACTACTGTAATGCGTTACTCCCAACACTGATCTCCACCCTATCAAATTGACTTAGATTAGCTGTGATTTGCTCTCTGCAGATAGAGACAGATTCTTTGGCTTCCAGATACACTTCATCTCACCTTTCCGAGTATTATCGGTTCCATCGCGATATACTAAAGGTACACTGCCACCTTGTGGTGACCATGGGTGTCCAGTCCTTCTCTTGGAGGGCCAATATCCTGTAGAGTTTAGCTCCAACTAGCTCCAAAACACACTTTCTTGACAGTTCCTAGTGAGTCTGAAGACCTTGATTAGCTGATTCAGGTGTGTTTCATTGGGGTTGGAGCTAAACTCTGCAGGACAAACCAAGCACTTCCTTAAAACAACTTAGGGGTTTTCCCACATATATGTTCTGTTTGGGCACTTTGTTTTACACTTCCTTACATGCGGTTAAAGGTGCAGTGAAAGCTCCGGGCCGGTTTGCCCTTAAACCGCGGCAGCGCGCACAGTCTGAACCGGACTTTGGCTCCGGTCCAGAGACGAGATCGCACGGAGCGGATCATATGCAAGAGTCGGCATATATTAAACACTTTTAAAACTACACAGCCTCAGCATGATTATGATCACTATTTTGTTTTACTAAAAGTTTCATATTGAATCTAGGGGGTAAACTATTAGACTGTGACTGTCAAATGCGTCTTTACCGAGCTCAACGGCTCCCTCTGACCCGTGCAGATATAAACAAAACGCTATTAGCTCATTTAAAAAGGGGGCGGGGCTGCTCGATATGTCCCGCCCTGTCTTCCTGTTTCAGGCACTTCAGGGGACCTTTAAGCAAGACATTTAACTTTGTGTGATCCAGGGCACTCGTCCCTGTAAGTTCATGCTGCTTATGCCACTCTAGTGACATGGCATGGAGATTGTGGAACCTGATTCCACTCACGCTGGTCATGTAATGATATTCTTGGATTGTGTATAATAAGTAAATATCGGTTTGTTACATTAGCATGTAAACATAATCTGTGTCCTCTTTGTGACTTTTCCTGCAGTGCCTCCTAAACCAGCACACCTTCAGAGTCCGGTGACGGAAGTCTCCTTTCCTCTGGCTGCTGGAACATCACCCATCAATCCCAGCATGGAGAGGGGAGGAGTAGGAGGAGCATTAGGGAGGGGCCTAGTGTCCAACCTCATCAGTCGCTTTGAGGAGAACAGGTAAACTTGGATCAATATCTACCTCTCTTTTCTCTGTTCATGGATATGTAGATACTGACATTCTCTAACATAAGTTCTTTGATCTTGTTTGCTTTTGCAAAGGTATACCTTGAAAGCACGTCTGGCTGATGATCAGACATATATTCATATATTCTGCCCTTACTGTAGTTTAGTAGTACAGTTTGAGGAAGTTTGATTATAGTGTTTTCTCATTAGTACACTACTCTTGAAAAGTTTGGGTCAGTAAGAATTTTTTAAATGTTTTTGAAAGATGTCTCACCAAGGCTGCATTTATTTATTCAAAAATACAGTAAAAACAGTAATATTGTGAAATATTATTGCAATTTAAAGTAACTGTTTTTATGTATTTAAAAATCATTTATTCATGTGATGCATTTGCAAAGCTGAATTTTGAGCAGCCATTACTCCAGTCTTCAGTGTTACAGGATCCTGAAATTAGAAATCATTGTAATATGCTGATTTGATGCTCAAGAAACATTTCTTATTATTATCAATGAGTTTTTTGTGGAAACCGTGATACATTTTTTCAGCATTCTTGAATAGAAAGTTCAGAAGAGCAGCATTTATGACATAGAAATCTCTTGCAACATTATAAATGACTTTACTGTCACTTTTGATCAATTTAGTGCATCCTTGCTGAATAAAAGTATTCATTTCTGTATTGTTCGTACGATATAGAGAGAAATATTTTAAAATCAGCATCAACTGTGTAACGTGTTTAAATGACTGTAAAGAAATGTCTTCCCTGACATTACACAAGAAGATCAAAAAGCAGAAGCTAGTTTTACTCTAACGTTCTATTTGGTGTTTCTCAAGCATTGTGGAAAGAACTGGTTTTGTGTGAGACATTTTCTGTTGTGTGTGATAAAACTTCAATACAGGAGGTAAGACTGATTTATCAATTTATGTCTAGCCATCGTTTCTTCACTGTTAGCTCGGGCACAACTATTTTGAAAGTGCTTAAAGTGTAATTCAACAAAGTGCAATGATTTATACTTTTTCATTGCTCATGCCTTACTCTACAGTATGTTTTACTGCTGCCAACAGAGCTGTTCAGTCATTTGTAGGCCAATCTGGAAGGCTAATTCACCATGGCCTCCCTCTGGAATTTCTAATGGGTTTTTAAGAGTAAAATAAGATCTGTGGTTCCCATTAATTGAAGAGACTTTCATGTTGTGTTCTAAAACATAAATTACACACTGTCATACCTCAAACATGAATTTTTAAATTATTGAATGATTTAAAAATATAGGTTGCTAACAAGTTGCTAAATATTCAGTGCTCGTCTAATTTGCCAAGCACATAAACCCACATCCTTGTAGTAGTTATGTAGCTTATGTTTTTAAAGCATACAGCGCTTTCGAAATTTGAGACTGTATGTAATTGTTCTGTAGCAAAACAATTGTGAAAGTCTCTTCAATTAACATGAAATTCGCTATATACTATATTATTGGCAAAATAATTTTTTTTTGTGATTTATTATTAATACATTTAATTATTTATTAAACAATGGTGTCTTCTATCACATTGCTTTTGCTGCTGTTTTATGAAATAAGCCACTTGATGTAGTGCATTACTGTTGGTTACCATGGTTACATGGGTTTAAACACTAATAACTCCCCTTAACCATGATGAATTCAGTGTAAAGCATTTGTTTTTCTGCATAATACTCGATAACTTCATCTGCCATTACCATATGGCCAACGTAACAAAATGGACTGACCATTAACCTCAGTTCCTCTCAAATAAACCCCTGCGAGCCCTTATCCTGTTTTGCCTGCTGGTCTAGTGCCATTGTGTTGTGTGTGGGTCAGAATCTGTGCAGGAATTCATCCTGTAAGCTCTGGAGCAAAGTGAGAGCGCACGGGTTGATGGAGTAAACCGGGGTCTGATAACTCCTGCAGCTGTCTGGCCTGGGCCAAATACTTATGAATGCCGTGACCTCAGACAACTGCAGGGGGTTGGTTTACAACCTCATGGGAAAAAACAATGAAATCTATACCGCCCTGCTTGTGTGGTTTCACTTGATAGTTTAATTTTGTTTTCCAGAAATGCCTTTTTGTAACTGCATTTCATCATACCAAATTACAAAGACTTAGATTTTGTTCTTTGCACAGGACAGATTTGAAATGTTTTGAATCATGCACTGAACAAAATATTAAATAGCACATATTAATCCATCTCAGCGGTCCAGAGATCAACGGTATATTAATAGCAGTCTATAATCTGGGGTGTTCACTGTGGTGCTCTGTACCCTCAGATCCACATCTCCATTCTCTGTCTCACAGGAAACGCTATCTGATCTAGAGGGCAGGTGGGCCGTAGACAGGGAAACAGCTGGAGGTGCAGGATATCTGTGTGTGTGTGTGCGCATGAACCACAAAGCCTTATATTGTGGCTTAATTTGTTTGGTTTATGCACGCTTATGTGAAGTTTTGAATGGGTCATGTTTTTACAGTTTACTTATGTGTGTCTCACAGGAAACGCTATCTGATCTAGAGGGCAGGTGGGCCGTAGACAGGGAAACAGCTGGAGGTGCAGGATATCTGTGTGTGTGTGTGTGTGTGTGTGTGTGTGTGCGCATGAACCACAAAGCCTTATATTGTGGCTTAATTTTGTTCGGTTTATGCACGCTTATGTGAAGTTTTGAATGGGTCATGTTTTTACAGTTTACTTATGTAGAGTTTTGATGATTATGCACAATATATCAGTGATGCACAATATATCAGTGACCATATCGCCAATATTATCATTTTTTATATTAGTATTGGTCTGGATAAGAAGCGAATATTATCAAGATTTATTTTTTTTCTATATCATATTTTAAGCTAAACAATTATTAATCTTCTTTATTGTACATTATAATATTTTAATGCCTGATTTTACATGTAAAATGCTTATACAGAAACAAAAATAAGCTAAAACTGGGCTTTACAATTGAATGCTGTTTTTTATGTATAAAGTCTAAATATTATATCAGTTATGATATGATATAAAATATTTATTTTATTTTATGTATTTATATGAAATGAAAATATTTATTATTGGTATTGTCACAATTTCTAATTTGTGCATCTCTATTATCTATTGTTCATCAGTCAAAAAAAGTATTCTTATTACACGGCACTCTGGAATATTTTGATTGGTCAATCGCTATATGTGCCATGCTCTAGGATTTTGAGCCAGAAGTCACAATGAGGCATTTGTGGAGACTCGATTCTAAGAAAAAAACTTGTTTTATGTTATTTTTGAAGGAACAAAGTCTCAGCTTTCTAATTATATTAAAAGTTTGGTAACACTTTGCAATAAGTTTACATTTGTTAAAATTTAGTTAATTACATTAGTTAACATGAACTAACAATTAAAATAATTCTCAAGCATTTCTTATTCTTAATGTTAATTTTGACATTTACTAATAGATTAATAAAATTAAAAGTTGTATTCGTGCATAAAACTTAATATATAAAATATTTTTCTGATCAAAGTGGCTCAAATTGATGGAGCTGGTCTCATAGTAAAAATAATTTCAACTCAAATCAATATTTCATGTCCATTTATTTATTTATTTATTTAGTAAGCAGCCGTGTAATAAGTGGGATCCTGTCCAGTCATCCGGTCATTATCACAAAATAAACCCCTTCAGGGTGATAAAAGAATGACCAGACTGTCTGGATGGACTGTATATGATCTCTTACATATTTTATAGTTTGCTCCCACTGTTCCTGAAAGACCGTCTCACTCTCTTGAGTGTGTAAATGTGTGTTCTTGCATGTTGGTCTGTATTCTGAAGTAGGGCAGCTGTGTCTCATGGGACACTCTGCAGCCGCATTCTACCTCTCCTCACCCTCCCTGTTCCTCCCATCCTCCTCTTATCCTCTTCCTCCACTCCTCCTATGACCCGCACATTCACACGTCCCCTGCAAGCACACACATCGCCGTGGCCCCACAAGACAGAGGAAGTTTGTTCAACACTTCTTTTAATGGCATCACATTCACACAAACAACACATCTTTCTCGGCTTCTCTGCATCTTTCTCTTTCTGTTCACCAACTCTGTTAGTCTTAAAAGTAATTTTTTGGAGTTCTCTGACTCTAAAGAAGGTGACCTTCCTCTACTCTCTCTGTCTCTCTCTCTTGCTCACAGTCACACAGACAGTCGGAGGGAGGGCGCTCCTCTGAAGCAGGTCAGCAGATCTCCCAACTGCAGCCCGGCTCACAAAAACTACCAGAGACAGACGGAGCAGCCCACAGACTCCAGCTCTGCTGCGAACAGCCCACGTCATGCTCTCAAACCCCCCAATGGGGTTCTAACCCAAAAGAACAGAGAACAGGACTGGAATCAGGACATGGATGGAATTACGCACGACACAGTTCCGGTCATGAGGATAGACAGGCAGGGACTGCTGAATGGAGATGCGAGCGATGGGGCTAAGAGGGAAATTATGGACGAGGACTGTGCAGACCCGCCTCACGCTCACATAGAACAGGCCGAGGAGGAGAGGAAAGTGCCGGAGCAGCATGACGTTGTGATGAATAGCATCCCAGAACAGAAGGTAAGATGTGAGAGAATATTTTGTCGTATTCTGCAAAGATCCGCTCCAATGTTGTCTGTCTGTGTGAGTGTGAGTGTATTTATGGAGTCAGTAGTGACACTGACACACAGTTATTTGACACCTCAATGTGCTGTCTCATCCGCCAGATTTACATGCTGACGTTCACATTAGAGCCTGTTTTTTTTTTCTTTTTCTTTAACCTTTAGTCTTACAGGCCAGGCCTTCATTTCCTCTGAAGAAAACATTGCAGATGGATTAACGCTTTCAGTTTTGTTTTTTAAATCTCATAGATGTGGACTAAGTAGACTTACGTCTGATGACAGAATCTGTCATTATGGTACACATTATGGCACTCAAGGCCATTCTATATTGTGAGTAAATACGGCGCAGCCTTGAGTTTATTATTGCTTAAAAACAGCTGCTATATATTAACAATATGAATGAAATATATATTTTTATCAAGCAAATGAATTGTATTTAATGGCATCCTTCCACTAGATATGGGGTGCGCAACCTTTTGGGCATGAAGTGCCTTTTTTTTTTCTTCATTTTTCTGGTTAACCACTGTGCCTACCCACCAGCTCTGAATCTTAATGCAGAATCTTAAATATTTCGGAAGCATTTTTTCATAAATAGTTTTTTTAACTTTTCAAAATTTGTTTATTTTAAAGTTTAAATTAGACTTTGAATAACAGATCTTCAGTGTGGCCCTACTGAACACCACTGTATGTGAATGTTGTTGTTCACACAACACGTCATTGTGATTCGTGTGTGGAATATACCGACTTAAAAATAACCAGCATTTATAGCGGTAATTTATTTATTGCTAAGAGCAACAAATGCAGAATAAACTATAAGCTGTCATGCACTCAATCGCGTAGTGTGACTGAAGCTAAATGGATTTAACCTCTGCGAAAGCAAAGCGCAGCATTGATCTGAAGCGCCTTGTATGCGCAGTGCTAGCGCGAATGGTTTGCCGGATCCACGTGCATCTGTAGGCTAGCGCAGGTTAGTTCTCACACATAGTATTTATAGCTCCTAACAGGCTGTGTGACTATGAGGAATGATTACCTCAAGATGTACGTGGGAATGCAGTTTTCCCTATTGCTTGCGTGCCAGAGATTATCCCTCTGCGTGCCGATGTTGGCACGTGTGCCATTGGTTGCTGACCCACTGCACTAGATGATATAGTCTCTGATGTTTCCATTCAAAAGTTGAAATGTATGACTGAAATGTATGTTATGCTTTTAAAAAGTTAAAAACTTGCTTAAAAAATGCTTAAATTTTTTGTCATGTAGTCAAATAAATTGATAAATAAATGAAATATTTTGTTTGGAATGTATGAGATGGACTGGATAGTGATCGAAATACAGCCAGCAAGTGTCCAGCATTACACGTGAACTCTTTCAGTGGCATTTTAAAAGCATCCCAGCATGCACCTCCTGAAGTTGGTTAAGAGAATGTTCAAGGCTGGAATCTAAAAAAATAATGAACTCAAATATAAGACAGTTTCAGAATTGTTTAACATTTTAGGTCACTAAGTAGTTCCCATATTTCCATTATGAATTAAGTTTTTAATACTTTTTTTATTATTATTAATATTATTTTTAAAACTATATAAAATAGTCCAATACATAATTTCAATACATAATTTGTATTGAAATACATAATTTGCTTGATTCCATCAATACATAATTTGCTTGATTCCATTTGTGTTATTTCATAGTTTAGCTATTATTATTATCATTATCATTGGTCACTGCATAACAAAAGTGGACAAAATGGAAGTGGAATTATTTTGTAGTTTTAATTATTTTAAAGATTAATTAAATTTAGAAAATTTGAATTAGAATATGTTATTGTTTTACATATTTATTTTATTATTGTTAATAGTATTTGTTAAACATTTTTGGCTGCTACATAATTCACTTACCTCCATTTGTGTTATTTCATAGTTTTAATTTTTTAATATTATTTATATTATATATTATATATATATTATTGTTTTTAATTATTTATTTATCATTAATAATATCATTTGGTTAGCGTTTTTGGTCACTATATAATTTGCATACATCCATTTGAGTTATTTTATAGTTTTATTATTTTAATGGTATTAAATTTTAATTTAATTAAAATTATCTTTAATAAAATGTAAGGACTGATTTTCTGTGAATGTGAACATGCGTGAAGCTTCAAGAATACAGACCATCCATCCTCTGTCCACACCAGTCCCTCTTTGATTGGCTTAACTTGTTTCCTTTTAGCCATCCTTTCATTTCCTGTCCTCTGAAGAACGTTTCAACAATGAGCTTCTTTTGAATTGCAATCAGCCGTGCCAAAGGCTGGATGTATTGGAAGTTAGCTTGGTTTCTTTCATCAGCTAAGTGTTGGAGGGTGTTATTTATGTGAGCTGAGGTTGTAGACTCTGATAAGAAGAGAGAGACTATGTGTCTTCAAAGTGCTGACAGGCAGATAGCAGCACTGTTTGTGGGCAGTGTACATCAGGAAGTTCCTTTAACAGACCACAGCGTGTGTATGCCAGTAGATGTTCATTTGTGTATGGGTGTGATAGAGAGAAAGAAGGGGGGAAATGTTATGGCGAGGTGAGGAATGTAGGTGGAGTGGGAGTCAACCTCTGAATTGGCTTTGCCCTTGACCCTTACATTCAGAGCTCTGTTTCCCTTCAGCCATGTGGACTGCTGTGCTTAGCTGGGTGTCACACCAAAGGACATCTGCAGAGTTAGTTCCCTCTCAGCAAAATCCAACAAAAATGACTTGTATAATTTAAGTTAAAACGAGCCCAAAGCTCAGAATTTTAGACAATCTGAATTATTTATGATGATATGAACTTTTGTCAAGTAAAATGTGAATTTGGTCCGCTTTTCATTTTAAAGGGTGAATAGAGGTCATATTCCTCCCCAAAAATATAAGGAAAAAATTAGAATTTATATTTTGCTAAGAGATCATTATTTTCATTGTCATTTATGCATTGCGAACAAAATAAATCATACTACTATTTGTAGTAATGCTTTTATTTTTACTGTTTGTATTTAAAAAAAAATTGTCATAAATATTTTATGCACAATATAGTTGTTGTTTTTTTAATATTGGTGTTAAATATGACATTATTAACCATTATAGATCTTTAAACATCAACATTTTCATGAAACATCAGGCCAAAGAAACATAAAAAAATTATGTTGATTTGCATCCGATAAAGTATTCATGTTAATATTCAACAACGTTTGTTTAGGAAACCAATGAGCAGAAACTCTTCAAGATAGCAAATGAACTTCTGCAGACAGAGAAGGCTTATGTTGCACGACTCAACTTACTAGATAAGGTAAGTGCTCATTATGTTTTTTCATGAGGGTATGCATACATTTTTTGCTTTATTCATAGACTGACCAAACTTTTGCGAGACCCTGAGTGGGAAACCAGTACTGTTCAGTTAAAGATAGTAGATCATACATCATCTAATTCTGGCTCTGCAGGTGTTTTATGCCAAGCTGATAGAAGAAGCCAGAAAAGACACGTTCACCATGGATGTGGTGAAAAACATCTTTTCCAACATCTCTTCCATTCATACCTTCCACAGCCAGTTCCTTCTGCCTGACCTGGAAAAACGCATGGGAGAATGGTAAGACATTCCCACTCTCTCTTCGCAGACATCGTTTTTGCTTTAATCAGTAGGAATATGGTCTTAATGCTCTGTGATTTTTCCTCAAGGACGTCAACACCTCGCATTGGGGACATCCTACAGAAACTCACTCCCTTTCTGAAGATGTACGCTGAATATGTGAGGAACTTTGATCATGCCATGGATCTGCTGAAGCAATGGACAGATCGATCGCCTCCATTTAAAGCCATCATTCTGGAAATCCAGGTGATCATTGATGTATATAGTCTTAAACTGCAGGTTATTACTCTCGAACACGAGTCTTTTTCAATAGCCAGCTTTAAAAATATATATTTTTAAAACTCTAAATTTAAAAAAAATAAAAAAAACGGAACATTTTGATTATTAATTAACAAGGATGTTGGTAGATTTTAATACTGATTTAAGGGAGAACTACCTCAGATAATTGAAAAATAGCCAAATTACAGATGATTTAATCAGTCTGGCAGATATTGCTTTACTCTTTACTCTTTCTCTCTCTTTTACTCTTTTTTTTGTTTTTGCCTTCTTTAGTGTTTGTAGATTTATGTGTGTATATTTGTGTGCTTAGAGTCAAGAAGCATGTGGCAGTCTGTCGCTGCAGCACCACATGTTGGAGCCTGTTCAGAGAGTGCCACGATACGAGATGCTGCTCAAAGACTATCTGAAGAAACTTCCTCAGGATCACATAGACCGGCGGGATGCTGAAAGTGAGTTCAGGAGTGAGCAGATTGCTAAACCCCAATTTAAACATGACCTTTTCTAAATGTAAAATCCTTGTCTTTGCAGAGTCTTTAGAGATTATTGCCATGGCTGCCACTCATTCCAACACCGCCATTAGGAAAACAGTGAGTGTTTTTCCTCTGCTGTACAACTGAATCTCTAGATTACGTCGTAACAATCCTTTTTAAAAGAGTCGGTTCAGTCACTTACTCAATAACTCTGACTCTTGTTTCATCTTCAAAAAGTGTTTAAAAAAAATGTATATTTAAGATTGTCTTGTGGTCTTTCTCTTTATACTGTCTTCTGTCCCTCAGGAAAACCTTAAGAAATTGCTGGAGATTTATGAGATGCTGGGAGAGGAAGAGGACATTGTGAACCCCTCAAATGAGTTAATAAAGGAGGGTCATATTCTAAAACTGGCAGCCAGAAACACTTCAGCCATGGACAGATATCTCTTCCTGGTAAGGACAAGTAACTGTTGTCCATGCTGGCGATCATTTTAACCATTGATGAGTTACTATGAGTTTAGTAGCATTTGGCAATTTATGATCTTAAAGTGCCCCTATTATGGGTTATGAAAGGTTCATATTTTGGTTTTGGGAGTCCCCAACAACAGGTTGATATGCATGCAAGGTCAAAAAACACTTGTCTTATAATATGCATTTATTTTTAACTTACTTGCTCAACAACCCCCAAACGATTCGTTTAACTATTCATTTTTCCAAACCCCTCCTTTGCGTGCCGCTAATCGGCGGTGATTGGTCCTATTGGTCTCATTTTCATTTCATCATGCCTGTAATGCCTGATAAAGCAGCGTTTGTGAGCACAGTGCTGCTTTGTTTACAGCCGTTATCCCGGCTTGGGATTCGTTTTAAAAACGACTCGTTTCAATGATTCAGAGTCGACTCTTTCTTTTGAGAGACAATAACTTTATACACGGTGCACTTTCAGATTTAAAACTTTGCAGGATGTTTTCATTCA